TTGGGCATCTGTTGGGATGATTTCCATTTTTCTTCCTCCAAAATCCGGCTGTACGGGGACATACCCGACCGAAGAGCAGCTGCTTCATAAACCTTGGGCCAGCGTGAGCCCGTCCTGCCCTTCGGAGATCGCAAGGGGGGCCTTCCTCCTTCCTCCTCCCTTCTCCTCCTCCTCCTCCTCCATTTATCTCTCCTCCTCCTCCTGCTCCTCCTGTTGCTCCTCCTCCTCCTCCTCCTCCTCCTCCTCCTCCTCCTCCTCCAACCATGGAGACGTCGCGCAGCACGCAGGAGGGAGGGCAAGGAGCAGCACATGCAGGCGACACGTGCAAAAGCTTGCGGTATTTCTCGGGCGAAGGGGGGGGGGGGGCAGAGGGAAGGATGCGGCTTCCTCCATGACCGCGGCATCCCTCGCTCCACCTAAAACAAAGCTAGGATCGGGATAAATCGCTCCAAAGCGTTCCGGAGCGCTCTCAGAGCGTTCCGGAACGCTCTGGAGAGGCCGCGGCGCCCAATACATCCTCCAAACCCGCCGATTCTCAGAGATTTCGAGTTACCCCGATCCGATTTTGTCCCGATCTTCGCGTCGTTTTACCACCGCCCCTCCTCCCACCCACCCGCCGTGCCCGCCCCTGCCGCGCTCCCTGGCCCTCTGCGAGCCCGCAGCCGGCGCCGGACACTTCCGTCCCGCTACAGGCGAGTCGTGCACGAGCGAAAAATTACTCCAAAAAAAATCGAAATGGACAAAACAGAATGCTAAACATCGTCCCCCAAGTTACTTTTCGATTACTGTTGAACATTCCTCCCGTACACAGAGACACGCACGACTTGATCTTGACTCCACCTTGCAGGCCCTGGCCAACTTCCGAAGTCGTCGAGGGGCTCCGCTCCCCCATGGGGCCGCAGCTCGAGCGGGGGCCCTGGTGCCGGTGTTGGTTGTCCGATGCTGCTGTGGACGGAGAGTCGGCACCAACACCGTTACCTGCACGTTTTCCCCCGGGGCCGTAGGCGACCCGAGGAGGAGGAGGAGGAGGAGGAGGAGGAGTAGGAGGAGTAGGAGGAGGAGGAGGAGAAGGAGGAGAGGGAGGAGGAGGAGTAGGAGGAGGTAGGAGGAGAGGAGGAGAGGAGGAGGAGGATGAGGAGGAGGAGGGGGAGGAGGAGGAGGAGGAGTAGGAGGAGGAGGAGGAGGAAGAGGAGGAGGATGAGGAGAACGAGGTGGATGTGGAGAGGAAGGGGAGCGGGAGGAGATGGAGGAAGAGGAGGAGGAGGAGAAGGAGGAGGAGGAGGACGGGTCGCCTAAGCCCTTCGGAGAAATCCTCCACCGTTACCAAAACCCCACTGGAAAAGAAGGGGGCCAATGGCTTGCCCTGACGACTCGGGGGGCCCAAAGGGGCCCGCGCGGCCCGCCGAGCTCGCGCGGCGCATGGGGCCTATGTGCATTGCGGACCCCATGTGGCCCAGGAAACCTTCCTAAGACTTGGTGGGGATTGTGGGGCTGGCGAAGTTCGCGCGGTGCGTGAAACACCTGAAGCTCATCGGAGGACATGGATCGGGGAGACGTAAGACCCGGGTACGGGGGACTCGGAAATCCCCGACGAGGTCGTCAAAAAAATCCCCATGACGAGGTCGTCAAAAAAATGACGAGGCCGAGCCTGCATTTTGACGAGGCCTCCCGCTGCAGACATCCCACGAAAATCCTCCTCGTCAAAATCCGAGGCGCGGTCGTCAAAAAACGATGGCGAACCCGAGTCCCGGCAAACCCGGGTCTTACTCCCCCGATAAGACTTGGTGGGGATTATGGGGCTGGCCGAATTTCGCCGGTGGCTGAAACAACCTGAAGCTCATTCGGAGGACATGAGTAGGCCCGCTGATGCTCCCCAGCGCCGCAGATCTCACATTCATCGTACGGTCGCACACATGGAAGCAACGACGACGATTCGTCAAGCATTGGCAGTCAACAGAAAACGCCTCGGGACCCGACGTCATGAATTTTTCATGACGTCGACCCCCAGAGGTCCGGACCCATTCCCCGGGACCGGTTTTTCGTCCTGAGTCGTTTTTTGACGGTCCCGAGGGCCGGTAAGGGCCCCCAGGGGCCGAAAATCATGAAAAACCTCGCGTCGTGATTTTTTTTTCCGTAAAAAAAAAAAAAAAAAAAAAAAAAAAAAAAAAAAAAAAAATAAAAAAAAAAAAACTCGAGGGGTCTGGGGAGGCTAACTGAAATTTCTTTCTCCCTCTCTTCCTTTTCTTTCTAATTCTTTCTCTTTCTTTTTCTCTTATTTCTCTTCTTTTCTCTTTTCTATTTCTTCTTTCTTTTCTTTCTTTCCTTCTATTTCTTTCTTCTTCTTTTCTTTCTTTTCTTTCTGTTTTTGCTGTCTCTCTTCCTCTCTTCTCTTTCTCTTGTTTCTTTTTCTTTTTCTTTCTTCTTCTTCTTTTTCTGTTTCTTCTTTTTCTCTCATTCTCTTCTCATTCTCCCACTATTTCTTTTCTTCTCTTCTCCTCTTTCTCTCTTCTCTTCTTTCTTCTTTCTCTCTTCTCTTCTCCAGACGGGGATCTTGGTGTTGGTGTCGGTTCCAGTGCGCACGCCACGGATACGGGGCGGCTCTTTGCGCGGATGCTCCGCGCGCGGGGCAGGCGCACGTGGCACCGCGCCTCGGCGCTGAAAGCGCCGAGGCATGGACGTGGACGCTTACCTTACCATCGGAGGATAGCGGGCCCTGTAGGAAAAGGGCTGCACGGTTTCCCCCGGGGCCGTGGGCGACCCGAGGAGGAGGAGGAGGAGGACGAGGAGGAAGGGAACGAGGAGGAGGAGGAAGAGGAGGATTGGTTTGTAATGTATGTTGAGGTAGAAGAGGGGGCGGGTGTATGGGGAGGATCCTGATGAGTAGGTAGAAGGAGGGTGGTAGGGGGTGGATGAGTATATGTATGAGTTCAGTACTTCAGTACATGTATCGGGTGTATGTACAATGATGTATTATGCATGATGATGTATGATAGATGTATTATGATGATGATGCTTATAGATTCTGTATGTATGATGCTGATTATTATTATTGGTGAGTAGGTAGTAGGGAGGAGGAGGAGTAGGAGGAGGAGCAGGAGGAGGAGGAGGAGGAGGGGGGGTCGCCTAAGCCCTTCGGAGAAACCCTCTAGTTGGCGGCCCTCAGACATCAACCCCCAGACCTCTCCAGGGCCGCGCTCTGGCCAAGACTGCGAGGGGAATCGATCGCGGCAGTGAGAGGAATAACGAATGCATGGGCACCATTGTTTGGAGGTCCAAGCGGATATCTTGGATCCGCGTTGGACCCCCTTCCCTTGAGCGCGGAGCTCGCGACAGGGGCGGCGCCGGAGGCGCTGCCATGGGGGGTTCCAGCGCAGCTCAAGAAATCTGCGGAAATTCGGCTGTTGCCTTTTTTGGCTCTTCGAGCGACCAGGCGCGCGCCCCAGGAGGCGCAGAAATACAAAGGCGCAGAACTACAAAGACGCCGAACCTTCGAACCTTCGAACCTTCAGGGCGAGGTGTGTTCGTCGCTCGAGACCCGACCGGCTCGACGACACCCTGCCCGCGCTGCCGGCGCCCTGGTGCGCACCCCCGCCAAGAGAAGCCCACGGCCGGCAGCCCGCCCGTCGCCTCCTCGCGCTCTTCAGGCTCCTCCGTTCTCCTCCGCCTCTTCTCCTCCCTTCCCTTTCCCACCTTCTCCGTCTCCCTCTCGTTCGACTCCCCCTCCTGATCCAACTCCTCCTCCTCCTCCTCCTCCTCCTCCTCCTCCTCCTCCTCCTCCTCCTCCTCCTCCTCCCCTCCCCTCCTCCTCCCCTCCTCCTCCCTCCTCCTCCTCCTCCTCCTCCTCCTCCTCCTCCTCTTCGTCTTTGCCATCTTCCTCCTCTTCGTCTTTGCCATATTCCTCCTCCTCCTCCTCTTCCTTCTTTTCCTCCTCCTCCTCCTCCCTCTCCTCCTCCTCATCCTCCTCCTCTATTGCTCCCGTGGCTCTATCACCACTGCTGCAGTCTATGATCGAAGGGGCTGGCGGTCAATCATATGTGCTCAAGGTTGGCCCACCATTCTCCCTCCTCCACGTCGGGAAGAGTCATGGGCCATGGTACTGAGACGTGATGACCCTCAGGCAAAGGAGGCTTCTCGATCAGAAGATGCCTCCTCTGCTGTGTGAAAACCTGCTGGCACCGACCACCCAACTTTCGGGCCTCTCCCGAAGTGTCTGCCCCTCACGTCATAGAAGAAACAGAGGGAGGTCCGTCTCGTGCACTCTGTACACAAACAAGTCATGGGGAGGGCAGCACACCTCCCATGGGCCGATTCTTGGTGAAACATTCTGCGCATCTGACACATCACCAACGGGTCCCGTTCCAGAACACATGGTGGGCGCGACTGCTGGTGGGCTTAGGCTCCATGGCTGCCGAAACCGAACGGTCCAGCGAGCTTCCCGAAGAGCTCCCTGGCCCCGGGGACATCAGAAAAAATATAACGTTACGACGAAGGTCACCTCACTCCAGCCGCCCTAACATATCTTATAATGGTGGATCTCTTCCAGAACTCTGGGATGTACCTTGGCACCGTCCTTCGCATACTCATCTGCCGTGCCGTTTCCGTTGTTGAGCCGTAGGATCAGTCCCAACAAGTTTTCGTCGGTGATGTGGTCCTTGACCTTGAAAAAAAACTGCCAAGGCCAGTACTCAACAAAGAGAAACATGCCCACCAGACTTCAGCTAACGGGTGGAGCCCGAGATGACCTGTCGAGGATTTCCAGCGCCATGAATCAAGGACTTACCACTTCTCCTCTACATCCTCTCGCATCCCCTCATCCCCCTCCTCATCCATCCCATTCCTGCTCCACACGTTGGCTCCCTCTCTCTGACGCGCTGCTTTCGCCTCCACCTTCTCCTGCTCGCGCTCCCCCTTGTCCTACTCCTCCTCCGAACGAACGAACGAAAGAGCAACGACGGCTATGATTACCGAGGAACACAATCCGGCGCGCTCAGGGCCCGTCTTTTTGCCACGCGCCATGGCTCGCCTCTGCGCACGCCGCCAGCGGGAGAATGGGAGCCATGGAGGAAGAGGGGGAGGAGGAGGAGGGGGAGGAGGAGGGGGGGGAGGAGGAGGAGGAGGAGGAGGAGGAGGAGGAGGAGGAGGAGGAGGAGGAGGAGGAGGAGGAGGAGGAGGAAAAGGAGAATGAGGAGGAGGAGGAGGAGAGAGCGGAAGGACGCACGTCTGCAGTGCAGTCACCGTGAAGGAACGAAAGGGGAAGTTCAGACCACGGCGAGCCTCAGCCGCGCATATGTTCCACAACCCGATTTAGACGAGCAAATGAAACGAGACTCCGAAAATGCTTCAAGGTGGTCAAGAACATACTCCAAACATCGTCCCCAGACTATTCTTGGACTACCTTTGAATACTCCATATTTCGTAATAAAAGGGAGGGGGTCTCATTTCGGGGGGGGTCTCTTCCAGGCTATCTTGGGGGGCCTGGGGGGGTCTGGGGACGATGTTTTGGAGGGTTCTCCCACGGGGGGGGGGGTCTAAAATTTCTCGTCTGGGAGGGTTGAGACCCCCTCCCTTGTATTACGAAATCTGGAGTACAGATTTGGTTTACCCCAACATCGATTCTCAGGTCGGATGTGAGAAAGAGCGTAGAGCGCTCGTGCACAATTCCACGTGTTTTCGTAGATTCGACGAGAAAATCGATTCGTCCCCAGACTATTCTTGGACTATCTTTGAGTATTCCTCCTGCAGAGGCCCGACCTCAACCCGATTCTGAGGAGCGGCCCGAAAACCGGAGCCCCTCTCGGATCCCAAGGTGGCCCTAGTGTCATCGGCTTGACCACAGACCGGCGGCGCGCAGCTCCCGGAGGGTGAACAAGGGCCAGGCAAGAGAGAGAGAGAGGGGGAGCGCCGACGACGAAACCAACTACAGGGCAGGTTTTAATACATAGGATTTTACTCATAAGTCAATGCATCAATTCATCCTTGTTTTTATACTAAATCCCTTTATTTTGTATTCATGATCCGCACGCGGAGCATGTATTAAAACCGGCGCTGTAGAAATGGTGTACCATTTGGGCGAAGGGAGGGGGGGTGGGAGGGGGGGCTACAAACAGGAGCTGCGCGAAGAGAGGATGTGGTACCCAGCTTGCGCACGCAGGCCCCCCCCCCCCCACACACACTCATGCCCCTAGCCTGCATAGGATGCTGCAGTATGGGCAGGATCTTACGAGGTGATATACGTGAAGTGTAATACACATAACTCAATGAAGCATGGCATGCGTGCGACTCAGCATGAGGCACCAACATGGAACTGTACACGGACTCTCTGCAAGATAACAAGGGAATGCGACACGGTACCAGGCACGTTTACGGGCCAGCGGGACAATGAGAAGGGGCTCCAGTTCAAGGAGCGCGTGGAGATCGAAGCCATGCTCGACAGCGTCTCGACGGCACTCTCGAAGCAACAAACAACTGGCGGGATCGAGGTCGCAGGAGGGGCCGACGGGCGAGCCCTGGCGAAGGACGTCGGCAACGCAGGTGGACCTTCGGAATGTCGGAGGGCTTGAGGGGCCTTCAGCTCCCGAGGGCCTCCGTGGCCCCGCGAGGCCCCTGGTCGTACACCTCCTCCGCGCCATCCGGGCCAAGAGCCAAGACACCCCCCCGTGAGGTACAGTCAACGCGTCTTGCAAGGACGCGCGATAGGCATGCAAGGGCCTTGGACGTGTATTTCGAAGCTGTTCGAGCGGGGCGAGGCCAACGAAAGGGGCGAGGGATGGACCGAGGAGGCAAGGATGCAGGGGCACCCTTGGGAAGGTTGCCCATCCTTGCCATGCGGGTTGACCGCAAGCGCGCGAGGGCGGAGTGGCGGGGTGGGGCGACGAGGGGGGTGGCGACGCCGAGAAGGAGCGAGGCGCGCCAGGCCTGGACGGGCAAATGTTTGAGCAGGGACCGACCGTCCCGGCATTCCTATAGTCCTACCACGAACTGTTCTTAGAACCCACGAATGTTCCAAGAACAACCGCAGCGATCTTAGAAAATGAACCCGATGCGTTAAAACAAGGCAGTCCCAGCCAGGAATGCTCTAAGAGCATTTCCTGGGAACCACAAAAGGTTCATTGTCATAGAACATTGTCTGGTAGGGCTAACAGGCGAGCCAGGACGCTTCGCCGCTGCTTGAGATGTGCGCCCGGGCGGCCAGCACCGGCGCACGGGCGCGCCAGGGGGTGGAGTGGCAGGGTGGGGCGACGAGGGGGGCGACGACGCCGAGGAGGAGCGAGGGCACGCCGAGGGCACGCCTGCCCCTGTCTTTGCAGGGGGGCGGCCGTGTGCGCCTGCCGTTGGAGGACGAAGGGAGGGGAGGGAGGGGGGGAGGGAGGGGGAGGTAGGGAGCGAAGGGGGATGGAGGGGGGGGGAGGGAAGGAAGAGGGAGGGAGGGAGGAGGGAGGGAGGGAGGACGGAGGGAGGGGGGGGGGACGGAGGAGAGGGAGGGAGGGAGGAGGGAGGAGGGAGGGATGAGGGAGGGAGGGAGGGAGGACGAGGGAGGAGGGGGGGCAGAGGGAGGGAGGGGGGGCGGGGCGCGGCGGAAGGGAGAACGGGGAGGGGCGCCACGGGGGAGGCAGGCGGAGGAAGGCAGGGGGGGAGGGGGGGAGAGAAGGGCAAGGAGGACCGGGGAGGAGAGGCACCGGGTGGAGGCAGGAGGAGGAGAGGAAGGCAGGGGGGGGACGAGGAGAGGAAGATGGAAGAGCAGCAGAGCAGCATGCACCGACACTTTCGCAACGCCGCGCGGGTCTCTTGGTCGTCGCTGAGCCCCGCGGCGCGGAGCGCGCCGGGGGCGGCGTCGGAGGCGCCCCATAGGAGGGGCCCAAGCGCCGACCCGAGAGATCCGTGCGGCGCTCCGAAAATTCATGCGTGCGTGAGGTCTTGTCTTCCTCAAAAGCCCGCCGCCGCGCCCTGAGGCACGACTTGGAATGTCCTCAGGTGCGTCGTACAGTGAAAACGTATAGTAAGGACGCGTGGTAAGGACGCAAGACCCTTGGAGGCCGAAGTTGAAGTATTCTGGGCGGCATGCGGCCAAACCCCCAGGGAACCTGAGAAACTGGCCTGCGAAAATTGCTAGGGACGGGCCGCAGAGGCTGAGGCAGGCAAGGACCCAAGGGTACCCTTGAAAAAGTCGTTTGTCCTTACTATGCGCGTTGACTGTAGTTCTTCGCCCTCAGTCCTGAGTGACTGTGAGGGGCAACGACAGGGGGGGATGGGCATAGGGGGGGGGGATGCATGGACCTGGAATCGGCGAGGCATCGCCGATGCGTCGGCGAGAGGCCCCCGATGGTGGATCCGCACCTTCCTGGGCAGGCTGGGGCCATCGGGCCCCCATCGGCGATCACTGGGCGATTGGGGGTCGATGCGCCCCGCCATATGCGCAGCCCACGATGGCTCCAAGGTGTGGTCAAGACGGCCCAAGATGTCCCAAGATGGCCTCAGCATGGTTCAAGACAGCCCACGAGGCCCCTAAGAGGCCCCCAAAAGGACAAGGAGGCCAAAATCATCGATTTGCCGTTGGGTTTTCAGTGGTCTTATCGTTCTGTCCTTTTCGGGCTTCCGACGCTCCAAAATGACACCATAAACCCAAACATCGCCCCAAAAGACTCCCAAGAGACCCGCAAGACTGCCCAAGAGGCCACCAAGAGGCACGCAAGACAGACCAAGAGGGCCCAAGACGGCCCGCAGACAGGTACTCCAGACTGCCCAAAGAGGGCCACAAGGCGGACTCCGAAGGCCAAGAGGTCCCTTAGAGGCCCCCAGGAGGCCCCAAGAGGACCTCAAGAGACTGCATCTTCTTCCATCTCCTCTTCCTCCTCCTCCTCCTCCTCCTTCTATTCCTTGTTTTCCTTCTCCTCCCTCTCCTCCTCCTTTCGCTTTCTCTCCGAAGTGTTCCCCCCAAGAGGTCAGTTCCACAACGGCTCGGGAAACACATAGTCCATGGGTTGGCCAGACTTCGACCCAACGTTTGGCCCCATGGGCGTTTTCACAAGGCAGGGGGCGGCGGTTATTCGCCGTGGGCGTCTTCGATCCGCCGCCCCCCTTTGATCATCAAAGGGGTGCATCGCTTTCCAAACGTTTCACTGATGTGGCGAATTGGCAACACACGGCCATTCCCACAGGGGGCCCGAAAGAGGAGGACTGGCAATGGCTGTGGGTATGGGTGCGGGTTGTCGGAACCCGGGGTAGACTCCCGTTGCAGCGGAGATCCCCATCCGGCAATATGCACCCATAGCCCCCTGCATCCCCCGTGTGGGTATGGGTGTGTGGTGTTCATTCGCCATGCTGTCCTTTCAGCCGGCCACCCAGAGAGACTCGTAAACTTCGTAGACTTCCTGGGTCGTCGGTCTTCCCGCACCAGACGGCCTCCGGATGCCCTCCTTGACTATCCTGATGGCCTCCAAGACGGCTAAGACCCTTCCAAAACAACAAGCATGAGGCAACATTATTCATGCCCCTTTGTTCGTTCAATGAAATTAGCAATCTCGCCATTTCGGACTTCTGACTCTCCAAAATGGCCTCACTGGCCCAGAGATCGCCCCAAGACGGGCCAAGAGGCTCCCAAGAGGCCCGCAAGCCATCCCCAGAGAGCCCCAAGACGGCCCCACAGGCCCCAAAGACGGCCTTAAGACAGCCAAGATGGCCCCAAGACAGCCCAAGCTGTCCTCCAGACAGCCCAAGGGGCCCCCAAGACGCTCCAAGAGATCTCCAAGAGGACCTCCAGGAGGCCAACAAAAACATTGATCCTCCAAAGGGTGTTCTATGCCTGTGGCGTTCTCGCCATTTCTGGCTCCCGACGCTCCAAGACGGACCCGTGCGCCTCCAAGATCACCCCAAGACGGCTCCAAGAGACCAGCAAGAGGGCCCCAAGACGGCACCGAGAAGCCCCCCAAGACGGCCTCATGGGCCTCCAAGACAGACCCGAAGCGCAAGACCTCCGAATACCATTTGGTCTTGTAACGGTCCGCAGAAGCCCCAAAAGGCCAGAGGCCCTCAGGCAGCCCAAAGGAGGCCCCAAGAGAGCCTCAAGAGGCCTTCTCCCTCCCTCCTCCTCCTCCTCCTCCTCCTCCTCCTCCTCCTCCTCCTCCTCCTCCTCCTCCTCCTCCTCCCCTTCCCCCTCCTCCTCCTCCTCCTCCTCTTCATCCTCCTTCGCCTCCTCCTTCCCCTTCTTATCCCAAGTGTTTCTCAAAGGGGCTCCACAACGCATGGGGGAACAGGTCGTCCAATAGTTTGGCCAGACTTCGGCCCAACGTTTGGCCGCATGGGCGCTTGCACGAGGCAGGGGCCGGCGTTGATTCGCCGCACGCAGGCGATTTCGATCCGTCGCCAGATGTTTGACGTATCAACGTAAACGTTTTCTGCTTCGGCGTCTCGGCACTGGGCGGAGGGTCTGGCTCTGGACCTCTGCTTACTGCGATTGTCTGCAACACTGAGTCTTCGGGGGGGGATCAACCTGCTCGAAACAGGCGCCTGAAACAGCCAAGATCTACTCCATGGGGGAGCGGGGTGGGGGTGTGCGAGGGCCCGCGCTTATCGGCAAAACAAGTAGTGAGAACACGACCACCCTTTGAGTGTTTTGTTTGTGGTTTCACGACTGTTCCAATTGGGGTCTCGGCCGCCCCCGTGTCCAACACGACCCGGAAGTTGTACAACGCCCGCCTCCAAGACGGCCAGCATGGCCCAAGATGGACTTCAAGATGCCCAAGGTGGATTGTAGGGCCCAAGATACCACCAAGACAGCCCACGATGCCTCCAAGACGGCCGAAGATTACCTCCAGACGGCCCAAGAGGCCCCCAAGGCGCCCAAGAGTGCCACGAGGACTCCTCCTCCTCCTCCTCCTCCTCCTCCTCCTCCTCCTCCTTGTCCTCCTCCTCCCCCTCCTCCTCCCCCCTCCCCCTCCCCCTCCTCCCTCCCCTCCTCCTCCTCCTCCTCCCTCCTCCTCCTCTCTCCTCCTCATCCTCCTCCTCCTCCTCCTCCTCCTCCTCCTCCCCCAGAAGGCCAACATCGTTGATGTTCTGCATGCTGTTCAGTGGGCTTCGCCGTTTCTCCTCTTCGGGCCTCAAACGGCCGAAGACGACCCCAGAGCCCCAAGGCAGCCCCAGATGTGCCACCAGATCCCCAGGACTGGGCACGAGGGCCCGAGGTCGGCCCTACAATTGCGCCAAGAGGCCCCGAGGACGGCCCCAAGGAAGCCTCGAAGACGGCCCCCGAAGCACCAGGAGGCTCCTCAGAGGTCTGCGGGAGCTCCCAGGCGTCCACAGGACGCTCCCACATGGTCCCTCGGACGTCCCCAGAAAACCCAAACGTGCCCCAGGAAGGCTCCGTTTCCTCCTCCCCCTCCTCCCCCTTCTCCTCCTCCTCCTCCTCCTCCTCCTCCTTCTCCTCCTCCTTCTCCTCCTCCTCCTCCTACTCCTCATCCTCTCTGAATTCCTCCCCCAAGAGTTCCGCCAAGGGGTCCGCAACGGCTGGGGCACCACCTAGTTTAGGTCGGGCATGTCCTCCTACAGGGCGGCAAAGACACATGAAAATGAGTAGGCTAAGTCTGTCAATCAATTCAAACCATCGTCCCCCTACTAGTGTTTGACTATTTCTGAATACTCCTCATGTAGAGGGACACGCCCGACTTGAACCTAGTTCAACAGCTTGGCCAGGCCAGACTTTGGAACGTTTGGCAACATAAGCGTTTCAAAACAGGCAAGGGTCGGCGGTGGTTCGCCATAGACGTCTTCGATACAAACAGGAGCAAGGGGGATCCGCTCCCCTGGGGGTAGTTGTTTGGTCCAGGAGCTGGGTAACTGGCCCCAGAGGTCCAGACCGAGGGAAAATGCTGAGCTTGGGAAACATTGCATCGTCGGAGATCTGTGAGCTGAGGAGGAAGAGGAAGAAAAAGAACAGGAGGATGAGGAGGGGGGCATGGAGCGTGAGAAGGGTGTGCCGAAATTGGTGCGGCGCCATGCGATCACCGCCACTGGAACCTGGAGAGGAAGAGGGGAAGGAGAAAACAAGGGTACTGTCGGATTATACAGCCTTTGAGGGTGGCTGGCCCCCATAGTTGCCCATGGGAGGGCGCAGCTCCAATATGCAGGGGTCAACGCGTGCTGGGTCGAAGGCCACTCATGCAGGGATCAATGTATGAAGGGTGAGGGGGAAACACGGAGGGGGTTGTTGGGGACGTGTCTGATGCGAAGGCGATCCAAGATCAAACGAAATCCGACGCGTCTGAATCCGACTCCTCTCCAAGGGGGGCCGCGAGACGAGTCAGCGCCTCCCACCCGAGCCTTCACCCAGGGGAGGTCATCATCAATCAGATTTGGGCGCCCTGGCGCGGACGGCCGAACGACCCCTGCAGCGGGGCACCCTGGCCACGCGGTCGCCGCCGCAAAAACTGCCCGTTCAACGCTGGCGCCGCGCAAAGGCGCCGAACAGCGCCTCGCGCGGTCGCGCGCGCCGAAGACACTTTGGAAGTGCCTTCGGGGCGGCGCATGGGCGACAGAAATGTCGGCGTTTGCGTGCCAGGGCATCTTCTTTTGAACCGAATTGGTCCAAGACCTGCTCTCGTGGGGCGATTTCCTACGGCGGGTTCGTGTCATGTCGATCCTGGCGTTGGTTTCTGACACTGCGTAGATCGCTCAACCTTGAACGATCAGCGGCTCTTCGATCGCCCAATCGTTTTCATGCTGGTCGATTCTGGGCCACTAGCGGCGTTCAACCTTGAATTCCCGCGGCGGGGTCGACGAGGGTCGACACGACGCGAACCTACCGCACGCAGATACGATTTTGGAATATCGAGGCTCCCTCGAGGGCGCTCTCGGGCCTCGAAGCCACCGCGGGCGTCGCGCATCGACCGCTCGGCGACTCGGGGCCCTCCTGGGCCGTCCACGGGGCTTCTTTGGGCCCCCCCTGGCATTTTCGGGAGCGGCCAAGAGGGGGGTGTCCAAGAGGGGGGGGTGCAAATCATGACCGTCGGCATGTGCGCGGCCCAGCGGGGGTGCCACTAGCGGCGTTCAACCTTGAATTCCCGCGGCGGGGTCGACGAGGGTCGACACGACGCGAACCTACCGTAGAGAGACGCTGCTCCAAGGGCAGGCCGAGCGTCCGCGGGACCAGAAAAGAAGGGCCGGCAGCCCCCACCCGCGATTCGGCCAAGCGCTCCCGCAGGAGCAACAAGCACAAGGAGGGGGAGGAGGGGGACGTGGAGGGGGATCCTCCTCCTCCTCCTCCTCCTCCTCCCTCCTCCTCCTCCTCCTCCTCTCCTCCTCCTCCTCCTCCTCCTCCTCCTCCTCCTCCTCCTCCCCCGATCCTCCTCCTCCTCCGAACTCTGGCCTACTGTACAACGTCCTGCAACCTACGAGGGCAACAAACAAATGACACAACCACAAAAACTCGGAGATGCGCGCGGATTCCTTGGATCCGCGCTGGACCCCCCTCCCTGGCGCGCGGAGCGCGCCAGGGAAGGCGCCGGAGGCGCCGGGAGTGGGCCCCAGCGCCGATCCGAGGATTCCGCGCGGGCCTCCGACAAATTACAGTCAAAAGCCCTAATGAGGACGCGCGGCTTTGCTCAGGGTACCCTTGCGTCCTCGCTCTTCCTTGCTCTTGCGTCCTTGAGGTTTTCGTCGTCCGCCGCCCCAAAACATCCAAACTTCGGCTTCCAAGGGTCTTGCGTCCTTACCGCGCGTCCTTGTTAGGGTTTTTTCATGGGGGCGTAAGACCCGGGTGCAGGGGACTCGGAAATCCCCGACGAAGTCGTCAAAAACAAAAACGAGACCGAGCCTGCATTTTGACGAGGCCTCCCGCTGCAGACATCCCACGACACCCCTACTCGTCAAAATCCGAGGCGCGGTCGTCAAAAGACGATGGCGAACCCGAGTCCCGGCAAACCCGGGTCTTACGCTCCCCCGATTTTTGACTGCATGTTTATGCCATTGTCCGCTCCCCTATGCGGCCCTACGCCGGGGGCCCGCGCAGGGCCTCGGGGATCTTCGACCTCCCTCTGCCGCCGCCCGTCGCCGTGGCTCCTGCGGCGGCGCGAGGGCTGGGGGGGAGGGCAGCGCGGTGGGGCGCGCGAGAGGGCCCGCGGCACGTCGAGGGCAGCGATCCTGCCGTCGCTCGGGCGTCCTCCTCCTCCTCCTCCTCCTCCTCCTCCTCCTCCTCCTCCCCTTCCTCCTCCTCCTCCTCCTCCTCCTCCTCCCTCCTCCTCCTCCTCCTCCTCCCCTCTCCTCTCCTCCTCCTCCTCTCCTCCTCCCTCCTCCTCCTCTCCTCCTCCTCCTCCTCCTCCTCCTCACCCTCCTCCTCCTCCTCCTCCTCCTCCACCACCACCCTCCACCTCCTCCACCTCCTCCTCCTCCTCCTCCTCCTCCTTTTCCTCCTCCTCCTCCTCCTCCTCCCCGTGCATTTCTCGGCTTCATGCGTGTTTGTTGGCTCGATGTTCCAGGATGCTCCTTGAGGGTCCTCGCCGTGAAAGAATGCACGCGTCCGAGCCGATGCCGAGGCCGAGGGTGGAACTGATGGGTGGCAGGCTTTCTCAAAAGGACGGTGGGGTTTCTCAGAGGCCCTGCGAAGCCGTCTCTGTCTCCTGCGGCGGCTCAGAACAGCCCCCCCCGGAAGGAAGAAGGCCTCCTGAGTCTTCTGGGAAGACGCGCCTCCTCTGCCTTACCCCCTGGGCGCGCCGCCAAAGAGGAGGGCAAGTACCTTTTGGGAACCTGTCGCTGCGCCAAAAACGCTGGTCTACACCCAGCGACGAGGCGCCGCTCACACGATGGTCGACGCGTCCAGCGCACGCTCTGCGCGGGGCGTCTTGTCCTCGTCGGACCAGACCCAAAGCACACTGGGCAGCCCACACTCTGGGCGTTGGCTGGATGACGAAAAAGAAGGAGACCAGATGAGCAAGGAGGGAGAAGGATGCAGAGGAAGACAGGGCAACAAACAACAATAAACATTAAGAGGGAGGGAGAGAGAGAAAGAGAGAGAAAAAGAGAGATCAACAAGCAAACACATGTGAACCCTACCCCTGCACGGCGGCTGGGGTGCACACCGACGGATGTATGCAGCCAGGTGGATCCCAGCGGGGGTGTTCGATTCTCCTGGCGCGTCTATGGTTTTCCCCAGAGGCGCAAGGAGATACAGGGAGGTCCCTTGAAGTTCGTGGAGGCCTTCGGAAAGTTTCCAAATCAGCAGAACACGTCCACCAACGGTTTTTCGGGCATGCGCTACTATGGATGCGAGATCCGTGGATCGGGCTGGATCCATGGGTCGGGGAAACTGCCCCGAAGCATGAATCTAAGCGCCACTAATTACGATACGTTTTCAATGGCTCCCCTTGTCAACATTTGGAGCCCCAGCGCTACTGCGAAATATCCCCCCCGCGGCGGCCACCGCTGATGATCGGGGGGGGATGAGAATCCCGAGTGGTAGTGACCACGATGACGATGACGATGGCACCGACTACGTGGAAGGAGAGGAGGAGGATGACAATGACGACGATGATGACGACGATGATGACGATGGCGCAGCGGATGACGACGGCGAGGGCGACGACGATGATGATAATGATTATGCTGATGATAATGATGGTGGTGGTCGCGATGATGCTAATAGTGCTGAACGAGCCCCCTGAAGCGCGAAACAATATCGTCTGACAACGCAACAGATCTAACATGACAAGTTACGCATTCGCGGCCCGCGCCCCCAGCGGCCCAGCGCCTGGCACCGCCGCCGGCAGCAGGTCGGCGAGGCGCGCCACGAGCGCGAGGGACACCCGCGAGGCGATCTGTCGTGCATAGTCGGCACCCTGCTGCCCGCCCGGCTCGCTGGGCAGCGTCGCCACGCGGCGGGCCGCAGCCGCGCTCGCCGCGATGAACTGCTGCGCCGCCGCGCCCACGGGCTCCTCGGCCTCCGCGGCGAAAGGTCAGACCGCGGCGCCGTGACGGTCGCGTTTCCGGCGGTCCGCATCCGCCGCTGCGTGGCCGACTAATCGCCCCGCTGGCCCCGACTCCGCGGCCGAGCGGACCGCGAAGTCGACCCGCTCCCGTGCCGGGGCGCCCGGCCAGCTGACGACCAGGTCCAGCCGCGCCTCCTCTATGACGCCGCCGTCGCGCCTGCGGCGCAACTCGGGCACGCAGCGCTCGATGTCGACATGCCCGCCGCGGGAAGAGATCCACTCGGCGAGGGCCTGCGCGACCTCATTGCGAAGCCGGCTGCGATGCGGCCCGACTGGGCAACGCAACGCGCGGTAGCCGGCGACGTTCAGGGGGCGCCCGCGCGCGCCTTGCTGGCCCTCCTCGCCAGAGGCCGCGCGCCGGGAGGGCTCGGAGGCGCGCGTTGTCGGGGCGCCCAGCAAATCGAGCAGACGGTGCCGGAACGTGACGTCGAACGCAGAATCGCTCAGCACTGCCTCGCCTCCCGCGTGAAACCGCTCCAGAAGGCGCCCGAGCCCGGCCCGCCACCTGCCGGCAAGCCCGCCCGCCGCGGCGCGGGCGGGCGACGCCAAAGCCGCGTCGCCGCGAGAGCAGCCAGACCCCGGCGCGTCCGCGCAGCCGACCGCCGCCGGCCGCCGCGGGCGCGCCCCTCGGCCTCTGGGCCCTGGCTGGCGGCCAGCAGTGACACAGAGGCGTAGAAATGGAAGGCAGCTCCGGCGGGGAAATCGGCGGCCCGCGGGCCCGCCTCATATTCGAGCCGCGCCTCGTCCGTGATGGCGACGCGGCCCAAACGCACGCAGATGCCGGCGGATTCGAGGTCGCCCCGCGCGCGGCCCGCTGCCGGCGCATCCGGGCGGGTAGCGAGAGGGCGTCCCAAGCCTGCCGAGACCGTCAGAACGGCCGCCTTGCATGAGACGCGGCTCTTCCAGAATGCCGCCTGCGCGCGCACCAGATCCATGGGCCTCATCCCGAAGCCCCCGAGGAAGGTGTGCACCGAGGCGACGGCCGCGCAGTCATGACCGAGCTGCTGTCCAGCGCGAGCCCCCATGACCATTTGCACTGCGCCCGAAGCTCGCTGCGAGGCTGATAGTGGCGCCCTGGGTGGGCACAATCGCATATCGTAACCCAGCCTTCTCGCAGCGCTCTTCGCTAGCAGCGTGCACGCAGCACGGCGCGCCCGTGGGTCGGGGCAGCAGCGGGCCATGTCCAGCAAGGCGGCGCGCAAGGCGCGGGCGTCTTCCGCCCGAGCGCCCGCTGGCCCCTCCGCAAGCACGGCGGCGTGGTCGCCGCGAACCTTCGTAACGCATCTGCCTTGCAAGGGCGATCCCAGGGCCTCCAAGCCACCGAAGGGCCTCGTCGCGGGCTGGCAGAGCTCCGCACCGCGCTGGCTCAGCGGCTCCAGCCCGCTGTCGGTCGCTGGCAGGAAAGCAGCGCACTTCCCGGGAACGAGGCGCTGGTTCTCGGCAGTAGGGGCGGGCTGCAAGTCGCCAAGAATCCGCGGCATGGCAGACGCCTGCGCGGCGATGTACCAATCGTCCGCAATGCCGATCGTCGCAGGCAGGCCTGCAGGTGCGCGGCGCCGCTCGGCAAGGACGGCAAGTGTGAGGAGCGCGCGAATCACGATGTCGATCACGATGCGAAGACGGTTGATGATGACGCTGCTGATGCTGCTGATGGTGTGGATGACGATTCTCTTGCTGCGAATGATGGTGGTGGCGATGGGGATGCTGATGATTGGCGATGATGACGATGATCCATCGCAGTAAAGGCAGTCTGGAGACAAACCTCGGCAGCTGGCATTATTCAGCGGCGCTCGGCAAGCCTTTGTATCGGGCATGTCAGCTGCAGCCAGCCGCCGCAGCGTGCCAGAACGCGAGGCTTCGGAAGGGCGCTTCGAATTCCGCGCAGTGCGAGCGCAGCGGAGGCATGGGCGAACAAGCGTGCACCACCTTTTGGCGTTTGGCCTTCCGACGGTACGTGTACACGCGCTCCTCCTGGATACAGAACCAAGGATCGCACGAGCTACTGCAACGGGCCCACCTCCACCTATCGGCTAAGCAACGAGTCAGCAGGCGGAGGGCAACTGCACCAGAATTCGCACGGCGCGCTGGTCGCAAGGCGGCGACGCTACATTGGGTGGGCGATCTGACGCGCACCACCTTCTCAGCACAGGGCCGTGAGACGGTCTATGCCCCCCGGGCCCCCCTGGAGACAGAACCTCGGGGCGCGCGGGCCACCCCTCTGGTTTGACCTCCGCCGTCGAGGCAGACTCGAGCAGAGAAGCGGCAAGCGGCGGGCACGGAGGGTGGACTGGCGCGCACCGCCTGCCAGGTTCCTGGCCTAACAGACTGTCTGTGCACCCCGATCCCCCCCTGGAGACAGAACCGTGGATGGGGCTACTCCAACGGGTGCTCTCCGCCATCTTGCAAGCTGGCCTGCGTGCGGGTCGCGAACAGAACAGCGGAAAGCGACTGCGCCTTAACCGGCGCGCCTGCCAGTCGCAGCGACGGGCGCGTGGCAACTACATCAACAAGCTTCGAAGCATGTGCTGCCTTCAAGCGCGCGGCCGATACGACGGTCTGCGCACCTTTCTAGGCCCTGGAGATGGAACGCGGATTGCGTGAGCTACCCCCTATTCGGGCCTCCGCCGGCAACGCCCTTATCGCTGCGGCGGATCGGGCTCGGCGGCGGAGGGCGGCCGAGGTTGCGCCGCCGTCCAGGCCCCTGGCCTCTGAGACGGTCTGCGCACCCATCAGCCCTTCTTGGAGACAGCACAAGGAGTGCGCGAGCTACCCCAGCGGTTCGCCCTACACTATCAGGCAGACTGACCCTGGGAAAGGGGGGTCGCAAGCAGACAGAGACGAATCACAAAGAGCTAGCTACCCTGGCCCCCAGGCCTGCGCCGTGGGCCCCTAAGGCGGTCTCCGCGAACGAACGGCTGCGGGGTGCCTAAGCTGCCCAGGCCAACTGGGGCCCTGTCCTCTTTTCAGACGTGAGAGAACTGCTGCCAGTCTCGCGCTGGGCCCCTTTCGGGCATGCGTTGCCGACGCCTGCCGGGCGCGCGATCTGTGCCCATGCCCCGCAGACCGCGCCGAAATAAAAGATGCGCGACGTGGACCTCCAGCGCCCGCTGCGGCGGAAGCGACGACGGGTCGGGCGGCCGCAGAGACTCAATCACTGCCCGCTGTTGCGCGCTCTGCCCGCTGCTGCTCCCGTACGATGTTGCCCCCCGACGGGGGAGGGCAGCGCGGCGGGGCGCGCGAGAGGACCCGCGGCACGTCGAGGGCAGCGATCCTGCCGTCGCTGGGGCGTCCTCCTGCTCCTCCCTCCTCCTCCTCCTCCTCCTCCTCTCCTCCTCCTTCACCTCCTCCTCCTCCTCCTCCTCCTCCTCCTCCTCCTCTCCTCCTCCTCTCCCATCCTCCTCCTCCTCCTCCTCCTCCTCCTCCTCCTGCTCTTCCTCCTCCTCCTCCTCCTCCTCCTCCTCCTCCTCCCCCATCCTCCATACTCCTCCTCCTTCTCCTCCTCCTCCTCCTCCTCTTCCCTCGTCCCCCCTCCTCTCCTCCTCCTCCTCCTCCTCCTCGTCCCCCCCCCTCCTCCTCCTCCTCCTCCTCCTCCTCCTCCTCCTCCTCCTCCTCCTCGTCTCCTCCTCCTCCTCCTCCTCCTCCTCCTCCTCCTCCTCCCATCCCTCCTCCCAATCTTCTTCCTCCTCCTCCTCCTCCTCCTCCTCCTCCTCCTCCTCCTCCTCCTCCCCAGTGATTTTCTCGGCTTCGTGCGTGTTTTTTGGCTCGATGATCAAGGATGTTCCTCGAGGGTCCCCGCCATGAAAAAATGCACGCGTCCGAGCCGATGCCGAGGCCGAGGGTGGAACTGATGGGTGGCGAGCTTTCTCAAAGGACGGTGGGGCCTTTCAGAAGCCCTGCGAGACCGCCTCTGTCTCCTGCAGCGGAAGGCCGGAGGCCTTCTGACCCTTCTGGACAGACGCGCCTCCTCTGCGTTACCCCCTGGGCGCGCCGCCAAAGAGGAGGGAAAATACCTTTTGGGAACCTGTCGCTGCGCCAGAAGGGCCTCCTACACCCAGACAGCGCGCTCACCCGATGCACGACGCGTCCAGGCACGCTCTGCGGGGGCGTCTTCTCTCGTCGGGCCAGACCCAAAGCACACTGGGCAGCCCACACTCTGGGCGTTGGCTGGATGACGAAAAAGAAGGAGACAAGATGAGCAAGGAGGGAAAAGGATGCAGAGGAAGGCAGGAAACAAACAACAATAAACATTTAAAAAGGAGGGGAGAGAGAGAGAGAGATCAACAGGCAGACACATGTGAACCCTACCCCTGCACGGCGGCTGGGGTGCACACCGACGGATGTATGCAGCCAGGTGGATCCCAGCGGGGGTGTTCGATTCTCCTGGCGCGTCTATGGATTTCTCCAGAGGCGCGAGGAGATACAGGGAGGCCCTTTGAAGTTCGTGGAGGCCTTCGGAAGGTTTCCAAATCAGCAGAACACGTCCACCAACGGTTTTTCGGGCATACGCTACTATGGATGCGAGATCCGTGGATCGGGCCGGATCCATGGATCGGGGAAGCTGCCCCGAAGCATGAATCTAAGCGTCACTAATTGCGATACGTGTTCAATGGCTCCCCTTCTCAACATTTGGAGCCCCAACGCTACTGCGAAATATCCCCCCCGCGGCGGCCACCGCTGATGATCGGGGGAAGGATGAGAATCCCTAGTGGTAGTGACGACGATGACGATGACGATGGCACCGACTACATGGAAGGAGAGGAGGAGGATGACAATGACGACGATGATGACGACGATGATGACGATGACGCAGCGGATGACGACGGCGAGGGCGACGACGATGATGATAATGATTCTGCTGATGATAATGATGGTGGTGGTCGCGATGATGCTAATAGTGCTAACCGAGCCCCCTGAAGCGCGAAACAATATCGTCTGACAACGCAACAGATCTCACACGACAAATTAAGTATTCGCGGCCCGCGCCCCCAGCGGCCAAGCGCCCGGCACCGCCGCCAGGAGCAGGTCGGCGAGGCGCGCCGCGAGCGTGCCAGACACCCGCGAGGCGATCTGCCGTGCACAGTCGGCACCCTGCTGCCCACCTGGCTCGCTGGGCAGCGTCGCCACGCGGCGGACCGCAGCCGCGGTCGCCGCGATGAACTGCTGCGCCGCCGCGCCCAGGGGCTCCTCGGCCTCCGCGGCGAAAGGCCAGACCGCGGCGCCGTGACGGTCGCGTTTCGGGCGCTTCGCGCCCGCCGCTGCGTGGCCGGCTAATCGCCCCGCTGGCCCCGACTCCGCGGCCGAGCGGACCGCGGCGTCGACCCGCGCCCGTTCCGGGGCGCCCGGCCAGCTGACGACCAGGTCCAGCCGCGCCTCCTCTATGACGCCGCCGTCGCGCCTGCGGCGCAACTCGGGCACGCAGCGCTCGACGTCGACATGCCCGCCGCGGGAAGAGATCCACTCGGCGAGGGCCTGCGCGACCTCATTGCGAAGCCGGCTGCGATGCGGCCCGACTGGGCAACGCAACGCGTGGTAGCCGGCGACGTTCAGGGGGCGCCCGCGCGCGCCTCGCTGGCCCTCCTCGCCAGAGGCCGCGCGCCGGGAGGGCTCGGAGGCGCGCGTTGTCGGGGCGCCCAGCAAATCGAGCAGACGGTGCCAGAACGTGACGTCGAACGCAGAATCGCTCAGCACTGCCACGCCTCCCGCGTGAAACCGTTCCAGAAGGCGCCCGAGCCCGGCCCGCCACCTGCAGGCAAGCCCGCCCGCCGCGGCGCGGGCGGGCGACGCCAAACCCGCGTCGCCGCGAGGGCAGCTAGACCCCGGCGCGTCCGCGCAGCCGACCGCCGCCGGCCGCCGCGGGCGCGCCCCTCGGCCTCTGGGCCCTGGCTGGCGGCCAGCAGTGACACAGAAGCGTAGAAATCGAAGGCAGCTCCGGCGGGGAAATCGGCGGCCCGCGGGCCCGCCTCATATTCGAGCCGCGCCTCGTCCGTGAAGGCGACGCGGCCCAAACGCATGCAGATGCCGGCGGATTCGAGGTCGCCCCGCGCGCGGCCCGCTGCCGGCGCATCCGGGCGGGTAGCGAGAGGGCGCCCCAAGCCTGCCGAGACCGTCAGAACGTCCGCCTTGCATGAGACGTGGCACGCCCAGAATGCCGCCTGCGCGCGCACCAGATCCATGGGCCTCATCCCGAAGCCCCCGAGGAAGGTGTGCGCGCAGTCAAGTCCGAGCTGCCGTCCAGCGAGAGCCCCCATGACCGTTTGCACTGCGCCCGAAGCTCGCTGCGAGGCTGATAGTGGCGCCCTGGGTGGGCACAATCGCACATCGTAACCCAGCCTTCTCGCAACGCTCTTCGCCAGCAGCGTGCACGCAGCATGGCGCGCCCGTGGGTCGGGGCAGCAGCGGGCCATGTCCAGCAAGGCGGCGCACAAGGCGCGGGCGTCTTCCGCCCGAGCGCCCGCTGGCCCGTTCGCAAGCACGGCGGCGTGGTCGCCGCGAACCTTCGTAACGCATCTGCCTTGCAAGGGCGATCCCAGGGCCTCCAAGCCACCGAAGGACCTCGTCACGAGCTGGCAGAGCTCCGCACCGCGCTGGCTCAGCGGCTCCAGCCTGCTGTCGGTCGCTGGGAGGAAAGCAGCGCACTTCCCGGGAACGAGGCGCTGGTTCTCGGCAGTAGGGGCGGGCTGCAAGTCGCCAAGAATCCGCGGCATGGCAGACGCCTGCGCGGCGATGTACCAATCGTCCGCAATGCCGATCGTCGCAGGCAGGCCTGCAGGTGCGCGGCGCCGCTCGGCAAGGACGGCAAGTGTGAGGAGCGCGCGAATCACGATGTCGATCACGATGCGAAGACGGTTGATGATGACGCTGATGATGCTGCTGATGGTGTGGATGATGATTCTCTTGCTGCGAATGATGGTGGTGGTGATGGGGATGCTGATGATTGGCGATGATGACGATGATCCATCGCAGTTAAGACAGTCTGGAGACGAACCTCGGCAGCTGGCATTATTCAACGGCGCTCGGCAAGCCTTTGCATCGGGCATGTCAGCTGCAGCCAGCCGCCGCAGCATGCCAGAACGCGAGGCTTCGGAAGGGCGCTTCGAATTCCGCGCAGTGCGAGCGCAGCGGAGGCATGGGCGAACAAGCGTGCGCCACCTTCTGGCGTTTGGCCTTCCGACGGTACGTGTGCACGCGCTCCTCCTGGATACAGAACCAAGGATCGCACGAGCTACTGCAACGGGCCCACCTCCACCTATCGGCTAAGCACAGGGTCAGCAGGCGGAGGGCAACTGCACCAGCATTCGCACGGCGCGCTGGTCGCAAGGCGGCGACGCTACATTGGGCGGGCGACCTGACGTGCACCACCTTCTCAGCACCAGGCCGTGAGACGGTCTGTGCCCCCCGGGCCCCCCTGGAGACATAACCTCGGGGCGCGCGAGCTACCCCTCTGGTTTGACCTCTGCCGTCATGGCAGATTCGCGCAGAGGAGCGGCAAGCGGCGGGCACGGAGGGCGGACTGGCGCGCGCCGCCTTCCAGGTTCCTGGCTTAACAGACTGTCTGTGCACCCCGATCCCCCCCTGGAGACAGGACCGTGGATGGGGCTACTCCAACGGGTACTCTCCGCCATCTTGCAAGCTGGCCTGCATGCGGGTCGCGAACAGAACAGCGGAAAGACACTGCGCCTTCATCGGCGTGCCTGCCAGTCGCAGCGACGGGCGCATGGCACCTACATCAGCAAGCTTCGAGGCATGCGCCGCCTTCGAGCGCGCGGCCGATACGACGGTCTGCGCACCTTTCTAGGCCCTGGAGACAGAACACGGATTGCGCGAGCGACCCCCTTTTGTCGGGCCTCCGCATGCAATGCCATTATCGCTGCGGCGGATCGGGCTTGGCGGCGGAAGGCGGCCGAGGTTGCGCCACCGCCCAGGCCCCTGGCCTCCGAGACGGTCTGGGCACCCATCAGAACTTCTTGGAGACAGCAACAAGGAGTGCGCGAGCTACTCCAGCGGTTCGCCCTCCAGCATCAGGCAAGCTGACCCTGGGAAAAGGGGGTCGCACGCAGACAGAGACGAATCACAAAGAGCTAGCTACCCCGGCTCTCAGGCCTGCGCCGAGGGCTCCTAGGACGGTCTCTGCGAACGAACGGCTGCGGGGCACCTGGCCTGCCCAGGCCGGCTGGGACCCTGTCCTCCCTTCCGACGTGAGAGAACTGCTGCCAGTCTCGCGCTGGGCCCCTTTCGGGCATGCCTTGCCGACGCCTGCCGGGCGCGCGCTCTGCGCCCATGCCCCGCAGACCGCGCGGAAAAAAGATGCGCGACGTGGACCTCCAGCGCCCGCCGCGGCGGAAGCGACGACGGGTCGGGCGGCCGCAGAGACGCTGCCCGCTGTTGCGCGCTCTGCCCGCTGCTGCTCCAGCTCGATGCTGCCATGCTGTCCCGTACTCCCTCGTCGCTCTGAGGTTCGCGCTGAGCGCCCCCTTCGGCTTGGCTGGAAATGATCGCGGCTCCTGCTGCATGGAGTGCCGCTGGTGCTGGAAGGGGAAAGGCCATCTCTGCCGCCTGCTGCTGGCGGAAGCCCTGCGACTGGGCGTCTATATTTAGCCCGCGCAGCTTCTACACGACCAGGCCATCTCCCCTTGCAAATCGATCCACGTGCCGTGCTTTCCACGGACTGGTCAATTGAACTCACCGCTGAAGCAAGACGCTCGATGGCGCAGCCTGCAGATGCGCGCCGAGCAGCGCGCCGACTCGAGGCCTGCGCCGCCCTCACCGTTCTCGGCCGTCAGCTCCCGCCTGGTGGCATACCTGCATGGCGCGGCTGATCCAGCGGAAGGTCTTCTTCACCAGGCGTTCCTGCCTCCTGCTGCGGCGCCTCAGGTCCTCGCCCTGTGGGTGCATGGCGGTGCCGTGCTGCGCCCAGCGGTCGACAGCGCGGTTGCCTGCCTTCTGCCGCCTCTCGATACGCTCCGCTAGGGTGTCGCCCTCGGTGGCGTGCGCCTTGACCTTGTGGGTCTGCGCCGCGCTCTCGCCGACGTCGTCTATCGCGCGCCAGAAGCGCGCCCGCAGCTCGCGGCGCGGCCGACGCCATTGCTGGCGTCACTGCCGCCCTGCGCGGAAGCCGCCCGCCGGCATCTCGCAATCGGTGTAGATGCGCACTGGCGGCAGGCATGCTTGCAGCGCCTCGATGCGCGCCAGGGGCTCGGCCGCCCCTGGCCCCTGTGAGCATGGCCAGAAATCTGGACCGACCGGCGCCGCAAGTTCGTCGTCTTGTGCCGTCGCAGTGGCGCTCCAGCCAGCACGTGTAACGCGTGCGTTGGGCTCCTCGACGCTGTCATCAGTGGAGATTTCGCCAGCGAGCGGCTGCCCGACCGCGCCAGCAGCGCCGACGCGGCGCGCGCTGCGCTCGGCGGCTGGCGGAGGGGCGCCTCGGCGACGCACGGGGGCCAATCCCCGAGACCAGCAGGCATCCTACTCGCTGCTGCCCTCGGCCAGGGCGACGATCGCGCGGAAGGGTGCGTCGTCGGGCGGCTTCCTCTCGACGGCGCCGTCGCTGGCGATCTGCTCCTGTCCGGCCGCTTCCACGGCCTCGCCCAGTCGCGCCAGGCGGTGCGCAGTGATCAGCTCGCCGCATCCCCCGGGCGCAAGGGTGACGCAGCGAGCGGCCTGTCCAGCGCCGCGCGCCGCGCCGCTGGCCAGAGGCTGCCCAGCGGGGCGTCGGGGTGGAGCTGACCTCCTGGACCGTCTGCTTGGGCGTCTTCTTGCGGCCTAGCGCCTTCTTCGCGCCGACCAGCGCCCCTCCTGAGCTGAGGTGCTCCAAGCCTGGTGGGGCGCTCGGGCCATCTCGGTGATGGTCGAGGCCGCCTGATTGCTCAGATCAGCGTTCATGCCCAAGCCATTGAGCGCCTGGCCCGGTTCTGGCGCCGCCCAGCCCAAGCGGCGGCGCGCGAGGGCCAGAGTCCAGAGCAGACGCCGGCCCCGCGCTTGCCGGCGCTTCTGGACCTCGCTGCTGAAGACGCGCGCGGGCTCTGATAAAGCTGCTGCCGAGAGCCCTCAAGTCGCTGGCGCCCTTGACGCACTGGGGCGCCATGGCCCGCGCTACTATGGGCAGCGCCGCGTGGCCCGCGCATGGGTCGCTGGCCCTGGGGCGGCCGACGAGGCAGCTGAGGCCCACGCTGCGTCTTGCGCCCACGCGCACGCGGCGCAATGCGCTGACCCGGCTGCGCCAGCGCTGCCGCGCGGGCGCAGGCCAGGCGATCGCGCTGACGCCATTGGTCGTCATGGGCATCAGGCCGGTGTCGGCCAGCCTGCCAGCCGCCCTCGCCCCTGGGCTGCGACCTGCGCGCGCTCGCTAAAGCGTGGCGCGGGCCTTCTGGTGTCGCCCTATGGCGACGTAGCACGCCTGGCCGTCGAGGCAGTAGCCCACCCCCAGGCACTTCGCGCTGTCCTTGATTGGGAAGGCCCCGCCCCGACGAACTTCGCCACACATGCCGCGTCCGGGGGCGAGATGGCGAGGAGCTCGCTCGTCTCCTTTAACACTTTGCAGCCGAGTTCCTCCAGGCCGTGCAACGCAATGCTCGTGGCCCCAGCCAAATGCGCTGCGACCTCCGCCATGGGGCCGTGGCGAGCGAGGCTGCGGTCGTCGAGCGTGATAGCGAGCGTGGCCCTGGGCTCGAGCACCCGCCACATGCGCGCGCGCTCGTCGGCGCTCCAATAAAACGCACTTGCGTAGGCGGTCTGCGGGGCCGCGTCCTGCGATCCGCCCCGCGTCGAAGTAGAACCCCGCCGAGGCGCCCCCGTCGAGCATGATGCGGCGTCGCCTTCATGAGGAGCCCACTGGGGCACTCGGCCAGAGCCGCGCTCTTCTGGATGATGACCAGGTCGACGAGCTCGTAGGCCTCCCAAGGAAAGACGAGGACAGCCAACTGAGATATCAATGGGGGGGGGCCTGGCAACATTGAAAACATACCGCGGTGATTCAACGCGCCTGCTGAACTTGGAAGCGGGAAATTCACACTATTACTTTGAAGGAGGTAGTTGCTAAAGGAAACAAGCCTTTTAGTGAAGTGCTGTTGCTTTGTTGCGCTACATCCGCGGCGGCGCGTCCGAGTTGCCGGGCCTCGGCCTGCGCTCGCGTCCTGAATCTTCTGTCAAGGAGCATCTAAGACTCGCTAAAAAAACATGTCCCAGGGTCGCCGCGACCCGAAATGGCGCGACCCTGGTTACCCGAGGAAATTCATCGCGGGGTGTACTGGCAGGAAAGACAGGAGACCCCCGCCCCCCGACTAGGCCCTGGCCCCGCATCGCCACTGCTTCACCAGGGCTTGCTTGAGGGAGGCCGCAGCCTTTAACTAAAGCGAAGAAGCGGCTTTACTAAAACGAAGATGTGGCTTAACTACAGCGAGGAAGCGGCTTGAAGAAAACGAGGAACCAGGTTTCATGAAAGGCGCTCCGCTCCGTGCATTCCGAAACAAGTACGTTTAACGCGAAACAAAACACTTTAGTAGAGCGGAGGCACGGCGGGGGGAAAACTGCGCGCGAAGATTTCGCCCGGCGACGGCGGGGCGCAAGTTCGCCCGTGGGCCGGGGCCCCGTCGCCGCCGTCGCCGCGATGTTCGTCGCCGCCGCCGTCGCCGCTGCCGCCGTCGTCGTCGCCGTCGGCGCAGGCGCCGCCGCCGTCGTCGCCGTCGCCGTCGCCGTCGTTGTCGCCGCC